TGATTTCAATAGGCATAGAATTGAAATAAACTAAGCAGTTTGGAGCCTAGGAACCTGAAAAAAAAAAAAATCAGAGCCGAGACCCAATACAAAACTTAGCTCAGTACAGCAGTTGTAGAGGGTCCTGGAAGGGTATCCCAGGCACCTTCACAGAGAATGTTGTTTAGGGTTGAGGATCTTGACCTGTGGTACTGAGGGGGTTGCAAATGGAACTGCAAGACCTCCAGAATTACCAACTGTTGAATCCTCCAAAGACCAGAGGGAAAAAAAAAAAAAAAAAAAACAGGAAAACATTGATCGAGCAAAACTAAACTTTAAAGACTTACTGCAGTCGGAATACCACCCAACAGAGTCTTAACAGTATTTCAGTACCTGAATATTAGAATAAAGTAGGTATACTCTCTTAGGGCCTGAGCTGGACTTTTCTAAGGCAGTCTTTCAAATTAGAGAATTAATTGGCATTGACAGAATTTGTGACTTAATAACTTCAAATTGGTATATACAGCAAGGTGGATTGAGTCTTGGGCAGCACACTACTAGCATTGATGAATAACTATTTTGGTTGGCTCACTCTTATCTTCCAGGAAAGAATATTGTCTGGGGAAAGCAACTAAGTTATTTTTGCTTGACCTCAGTATAACACAGAAACAGAAAAATTACCTGAACCCAATAGATGTATTTTTTAACACAAAGATAGGAATTCCTGTTGGTTTCAGTTCTTTACATAAAGCATTGGTGTTCTCAACATATCAAATTTATTACTTCCATTGTTTTTAATGTATTTTCCCAGTTATCCATTAAAAATAGATTATCTTTTTAGTGGTTACTAATATTGCCTTCCTTCCATCAATTACAATCACCCCATGCCTCTGATTTTATTAAAAGTTTCATAACAATAGAATTTAGGATTTGAGAAACATTTATTATTTTGAATGTTACTCAAAGCTCTACAAAGTGAAACCAAACAAAATAAAAATTGAGGATCCAAATCATAATGAAGATTTAGCTCAAGTGTTTACCCAGATCCTTCCCCAAATCTCTGGATTTCAAGTGAACACAATTGCATAAATCCCTTTAATTGCCCATTTTTACGCCAAATGCTCTGCTTTCCTGCTTCTTTCCTACACACCTACACTGTGACACCAAAGTCATTCAAGACCAGGTCACCCTGTTTAAATCCCTCCTCCCCTAACCATCAGGGCAGACTAGTTAGGAGAGTACAAAATATTAAAGAGATTGGGAACTTAGCTGATTTTATTTTCCTTCAGCTGGTGCCCAGAATGATAAATCGTAAGATTCTTGGCTCTTCTGCCTCCTTCTCTGCTTCTGAAAAGCCCCAACTAATCTTTTCTAGATCCTGACAATCCTCAGTATTTCTAAGCAGCTTCGTCTCCCAAAGTTCAAACCCTGTGAACAATAGTATTTCTTTATGCCCCAAGCAGAGGAATGCTTTCTGCCTGGATGACAGTTTGTTAATTGACCGTGGTCTTCAGGAGACCATAAAACTTTTGGTTTCCAAAGGGTAAACTTTACTTTGAGCCATATCCATATTTCTCTTATTCAAGACGTTATTTCCGCTTTTTTACTGGCAAAGAAGACCATGGCGTGTCACCTCTCCAGGAGACGAGAGAAACTGTCTTGCATGCCTGAACACTATGGTCAGTAACCTCTATTAGTTATTTAAACTTCTGAATACCTCACAACACAAATATTATCATTCTTACTGTTTGATACTTGAGAAAACAGAGCATTAGAATGTTAAAAAGCTACCTTTGGTCACATTGCTAGTGAGTAATATGGACAGAATTGGAAGGCTATCCTCTTTTTGTTATACTGCTATGTCATCATTGGTAGAACTTTCATGAGTCCTTACCCTGCATAAGCATCATCATCATCATCATTATCACTTATTCTTTCACCTCTCACAGTTATTCCCTGGGCTACTTTTCTATTTAAGGAGGTAGGCGGACTTTCTCTTAGTTTCCTTATTTGAGGATCACAATCTCTTTACTTCAAGATAATTTAATATTACTTTGAAACAGGGGGAGGTGGCATGTAAAGGACTAAGCTTTATATATTTTGAGGGTGAGAGCGAGGGAAAACTTATAAGCCCAGGATCAACAAGACACAGTTGGCATCTTCCACAGAAGGAGCACCAACCTTATTTGTTGTCTTTGTTAATTAGTAGACTTTTTTGAGCAATCGTATGTTTATTTTTAAAACTGAGAAGAAAATCGAAGTTTCTATATACTCCTTCACCCTTCCCATTTCCTCTATTTATTTTTTTTGAGATGGTTATTTTTTTGAGACGGAGTCTCGTTCTGTCACCCAGGCTGGAGTGCAGTGGGCGATCTTGCTCACTGCAAGCTCTGCCTCCCGGGTTCCCGCCATTCTCCTGCCTCAGCCTCCCAAGTACTTGGGGCCACAGGTGCCCGCCAGCGCGCCCGGCTAATTTTTTGTACTTTTTTTAGTAGAGACGTGGTTTCACCGTGTTCGCCAGGATGGTCTCAATCTCCTGACTTGTGATCTGCCCGCCTCAACCTCCCGAAGTGCTGGGATTACAGGCGTGAGCCACCGCGCCTGGCCCCTTCCTCTATTATTGATATCTTGCATTACTGTGGTGCAATTGTTACATTGCTAAATGAACCGCTTGTTAATTGTGAAATGAACCAATATCAATATATTATTGTTAATCAAAGTTCAGAGTTTATATAAGAGTTCACTCTGTATGTTTTATATTCTGTGGATTTTGCAAACATACAGTAACATGCATCCACCATTATAGTATCACATAGAATAGTTGCATTGCCCTAAGGAAAAAAAAAAAAATCCTGTGTTCCACCAATTTATCCTTCCCTCCCTCCCCAGACAGCTCTGGTAACCATTGATCTATGTACTGTCTCCATAGTTTTACCTTTCCTAGAATGTCACATAATCAGAATCATACAGTACATTCACCTTTTATATTGGTTTCTTTCACTTAGCACAATATACATTGAAGGTTTCCTGACATTTTTTCATGACTCGATAGCTCATTTCTTTTTAATACTGAATAATTTTCCAGTGTATGAATGTACCACAGTTTGTCTATTAAAGGATGTCTAGGTTGCTTCCAGGTTTTGACAATTTCTGTAGTCCTTTTTCTTCTTCTAAGTCCGTCAATTTCATGCTGCCCATCCTTCATTTACTGCCCCATCCAGTACAATAGCCTCATTTCTCTCACACTGTGTAAACATCCTTTTACTTCCCTTAAACTCTGTTTCAAGAAGACTCACTGTGAATGCCATCTTCAAACTGAGCATTGTACTTTTACAGAGCTGTTTCCATCTGAAATGCCCTCCTCCTCTAAAATCACAAAATACATATTTGTGTGTGTGTTTGTGTGTGTGACACTCAATATATATTTATAAAGCTTACCTACAACTTACGTATTGTTTCTGAAAGACCAAATTTTCAAGGAATTTTCTTGACGTGTATCTTCTTTTTTGTCATAGTCAAAGCCAAGCAATGCAGCAGCCCTGTTTTCTGCTATGACGCGTTCGGTGATGTTGCCGACTAGCCAGGCATCTGAACATAATTTGATGTGCTAATAATTTGATTAGCATGTTTTCTAGTCTCTGTTGCTCTCAATAATAACACCAGCTCTTAATCGGCACTAGGACATAAATTTATTATGTTAGAATTTGCCTGGCACTGCCCTAACTGCTATTTGTTTTAAACATGACCAAAAGGTATGAGATTGGAAAGTTGATTATTATTACCCTCATTTTTTTTTGGGGGGGGGGATGAGAAAACAAGAACTCATGAGATTGTGACTTTCTTACAAGGGAAGGAAAATAAGTATAAAACTAGATCCTGTGAAGTCAGGCTTACAGTTTTGTTTTTTTCTTAAACAAACCTGACCTCTGTTGCTTCTTAAAGAACCAAACCTATGTTTATACGTATTTATCATACCTAAATTTTGTTAACCTTTTTTGCATGGTTAAGTCAGAATCTTTGCTGAACTCCAAAGTGGCCAAAAATAGTTTTGTTTCATGCAACCTCTATGTCAAAGTATGAACTCAAATCTGAGCTACTACCATTATTACTTCACATACACCAACACACACACACAAGGAAATGATGAGCATACTAAATCAAATACAATTTTATTTCCTAATGAAATGAGCTAAGCATAAATATGACAAAGTGTGCAGTGGAGAATAATTATCAGCCTTCCTTTTTAGACAGCATGAGGTTCGGCAAAGTCAATTTGAATATAAATGCAAAATATGTTGAGAACACATTTAGAGAAAAGCAATAATAGTTACTAAAATAGACTATTAAATTATCTTTTAATAACTTTATAATAGCAAATGTAATATTGTGAAAAAGCCCAAGATCTCTAATAAAATCAGGCGAGTCTGATTTGCAAAAATAAATAAGATTTAAATCAGGTTAAATTTTATAAGCAGTGCTATAAAGTCAATTTGTTCTGCTATAGTATCTGCTAGAAAAGAAGAATGGTTTGAACAACTAAGTTCTTTCAAATTATCAAGTGTAAGAAATATGATAAGCATGAAAATACACTGAAAACATGTATGTATAGATGATACCAGCAGTAGTAGTTGTATTACTGTATGTTGCCTGATTTAGAATGCTCACATGGTCTAAATTTTAAACTCTGGTTGATTTTGAAAGAGAAGAATATTTGTATGAGTGTGTGTGTGTTTTACTATGTAGGATTTTAATATTTATAATATTTGGCATTGAGTAGCAATATGCCTTTTTTTTTTTTTTTTTTTTTTTTGAGATGGAGTGTCACTCTGTCACCCAGGCTGGAGTGCAGTGGCATGAACTCGGCTCACTGTAACCTCTGCCTCCCGGGTTCAGGCAATTCTCCTGTCTCAGCCTCCCCAGTATCTGGGAGTACAGGCACCCGCCACCATGCCTGGCTAATTTTTGTATTTTTGGTAGAGACGGGATTTCACCATATTGGATCAGGCTGGTCTCAAACCCTTGACCTCAGGTGATCCGCGCGCCTTGGCCTCCCAAAGTGCTGGGTTCACAGGCTGAGCCACCGCACCCTGCCGCAATATCCTTTATGTGTCAGCAGCTAATATTTGGAGCTGATATTCTAAATACAATGTTTGAAAAGAAAAAACAAGAAAAGAAAAAAAAAGTGCTCGTTTAAGATTAGATTTGTGCTAAGAACATATGGATATATTGTGAGTATGAGCAATTTTGGGCATCGATGCAATTGTCTCACTTTGGAATGTACTGTTCTCGAAAGGTGACTGTAGCAGATTGCAAAAATGATTCCAATTTTTCACTCCCTCCTAGTTTCATCTTTTACCACTTACTTTGCAGCATCCTCCATGCTATAAAGAACAGGATGCTGCAAAGTGGTAGGGTTGGAGTGGTGAGGGTTGTAATTTCTTGATCCCAGCTTAGCCAACTGACTTCCTTTGGCCAATGAAATATTGGCAGATGTAACACAAGTAGAAGTTTTAAAAGGGCTTGCAAGCCCAGGCTTGCTTGCTGTGCTCTTGCTAAGATAATATATATGCTTGGCTTTCCTTGCTGGTCCCAGAAAAAGTTGAAAGTCATACACAACAGAGCCAAATGGTCCCAGTTGCCCCAGATGAGGCCAGTCTACACTAGCCAACAGCCTCCAACCCAAAGATATATGAGTGAACCCAGCTAAGATCAGCCAAACTTTGCCCTCATAACTAGAAAGCTATCATAATAAATGATTGCTGTTTCAAGCAGTGAGTTTTGGAGGTGGCTTACACAGCAATAGCCAACTCACACAGTGATATGATCTCCCAGATCAAAATGTTATTCTGTAGACATGAAGAGAAAATGAAGCAGCTGACTCTGGAAAACAAAAGAAAAAACAAAGCTGTTCTGAGAATGTTTTTTGGGGATTCTATCCCTCATGGGTTTGCAGTAAAAATGATCATGCTACAAATACTGAGACTAGTTTTGTCCCATAGTTTATAAGCTACACTGCACACTCTTACTAATTTTTTCATGTGACAGTCAAAAAACACTCGGTAGATGGGGCACATATTTCCATATATTTTTTCGTAAATAGATGCACTCCAATTGAGCTAAATGTGGGGCTTGTCGACTCTAGTGCATTTCCCCCATTTCTGACCTGTCCTGCTACACTTTCATACAAGAGTGTCACTATGGAAAGCAGAGCAGATAACCCACGTGACAATGACAAATACAGTGCTATCACACAGTAGTGGGAAAAATATGTTGCATTTCTGAAGACTGGACAAAGTGAACTCATCCAAGTTCATAGGACAAGCAAAACCCACTTTGTAAGAGTCACTTGGAAATCAGTTTCCAACACAAACACTGAGCACCCTGAATTCTATCCTAAACCGGGTTCCCCAGTCATTGTGTGCTTTATGCCCCTCTAAATGCAATTACAATTGCAAAAAAATTCGGAGTCAAGTAGTTAACAAGGTCTCTGAGTGTTAATATAACAGCCCTTGCTAGGGCGGGCACAGCAGCTCACACCTGTAAACCCAAAACTTTGGGAGGCTGAGGCAGGCAGATCACCTGAGGTCAGGAGTTCCAGACCAGCCTGCCAACATGGTGAAACCCTGTCTCTACTAAAAATACAAAATGGTGGTGGTGGCGGGCGCCTGTAATCCCAGCTACTCAGGAGGCTGAGGAGGAGAATTGCTTGAACCCGGGAGGCGGAGGTTGCAGTGAGCCAAGATTGCGCCAGTCTGGGCAACAAGAACAAAACTGTCCAAAAAAAAAAAAAAAAAAAGCCCTTGCTATATAGCTTTTCTGTTGTTGTAGAAAGTCTCATCAATATTCTGTCAGTAACTTAGTGTCAAGTCATTTTTACCTACAGCAGCAAGTCAGTCCAGACGACTCCAGGAAGTTTCCCTTGTGTGAAAATCGATGAATCTCTCTCCACTTCTTGGAGACAGGAACAAGTCAGAATAATAAAAAATAAAAGCAAAAGCAAAATCTTCCAAAAAAGTTACAGGAAAAATAAAATAATATGGATCCCAAAAACAAATGGAATCCCAAATAAATACATAACTATTTCTTAATCAAGAAAGAAACAATTAATTTTAAACATTAAAAAAGGAAATAAGGCCAGGCACGGTGGCTGACTCCAGTAATCCCAGCACTTTGGGAGACCGAGGCAGGCAGATCATGAGGTCAGGAGTTGGAGACAAGCCTGACCAACATGGTGAAACCCCATCACTATCAAAAATACAAAAATCAGCCAGGCATGGTGGTGGGCGCCTGCAATCCCAGCTACTCAGTAGGCCAAGACCGAAGAATCGCTTAAACCTGGGAGGTGTGCACTCCAGCCTAGGCAACAGGGTGAGACTCTGACTCAAAAAAAAAAAAAAAAAAGAAAAACAACAAAACTTAAAAAATTAAAAAGGAGGGAATTAAATGTATGTGTCTCTTCTTTTGCCTGGTAATCCATTCATCAAATATGTATGAATTTTGAGGTAGATAGTTTTGTGTAATTTCTCTCAGTGTTTTCTTTTTTTGAAACAGAAGCAGCTGTGTGCTGAATATTTTTGTGTAATACATATTTTACCTTTAAGTATGGGCTACTTGATTATTATTCGAGTATAACTGAAGCAATCTCATTGTCCATGGTAAATACCAAGGTTCTTGGCCTCACAGCCAAGTAGATGGAGGTTGTGGACACATACACAGGCAGAGTGAGTTTGGAGCAGGAGTTCGGTAAACAAGAGGAAAGAACAGCGCTTCATTACAGAGAGGGATCTGGAGCGGGGTTGCTGGGTGGTGGTAAAACTGTCTGAGTTTTTGTAAATGGACTAGTGATGGGGGGCTATTGAGAAGGGGGTGTCTTAAGAATAATCCCCTCAGCAAACGGCTTCTCCCTCAAACCCAAAGAATAAGAAACTATCCAGGGGAGGGCTGGCAATTAGTCCACCCACATGCTGAAAACAAAGCATGTCCAGTACTTCCTAGTGTGGGTAGATATTTTCACTCATTGTGTAGATGCTTCTACATTTCCGTGCCGTACAGAAAACGCCTCTGAAGTACTCAGAATGCTAGTTAATGAAATAACTCTCGCTTTGACCTACCTAAGTACCTCCAAAGCGACAACAGCCCCTTAATTAAAGCAGCTGTCACCCAGGCAGTCTGAAAGGCAGAGGCATACAGTACCATTTCCATTGTACTCGGAGGCCCCGGTCCTCAGGAAGGGTAGAGAAAATAAACATTATGAAAAGACAGCTCAGAAAACCGTCCCAGGAAACTCCACTTCCTTGAGTCACTCTTCTTCCCAGAGCTTTACTACAAGAAAGAAATACCTCTTTAAAATTAGGCCTGAGCCCTCTAGATACACTGTAGGGGTGGCCTTTCCTTACAAATGGCTTCCGATTAGATCAGGAAACCTCTGAGTGAGGCCTGTAGCCTCCCTGGCTCACTTCCAAGAGGAATTCACACAATAGCGGAGACCCATCACCAGGAAACGGGAGCACCTCTGTTTAACCCGGGAGATTTGGTACTGGTGAAGTCTCTTCCTTCTCTCTCCTGCCTTTAAGCCCGAGTTGAGAGGGGCCTTAACCGTTCTTCTCTCCACCCTCCTGACAGTAAAAGTTACCTGAATCTACTCCTGGATACAACACACTTGAGTTAAAGCTTGGAAAACTGAGGAGAAAGTCCCTGACAGCCCAGAAAAACGCTCAGAATATCACTGTAAAGAAATAGAGGATCTCAAGCTGAGAACAACGAAAGATAAGTAAATGAATGAGGGCCACTCACTCCACATAGTCCCCTCTTTGCCTTACCATTTCCTCTCAGTTATTTCCATCTTTCCCCTTGAACTTCGCCGCCAGACATTAGAACTCTTCTTTGATGCACACTTGCAGGGAGATTTGGACTATTCCTAGGAGTATGTTTGTAACTTCATAGACCTACAAGGGAAATTGTATATTCTGGCAAATAGTATAAATACATTTTGAATGGAAATAGCTTACTATATTACAATTGCAGGAACTGCTACACTTACGCTGCTATTTGCAACGGGACTATATACCATGACACCCACACGGTGGAATTCTGGACAAAGGATTTCACGTGCTGTAATCTTCTGCCTATCACCTTTATAACAGCTCTAATAATTACAGAAAAAAGACAAATATGAGGTTCTTGCTACTGAAACTTTTCTTCCTCCTCCTGATAGAGCACGTCAATCCCCTAAACCCTACAGCCCAACAAATCCGACACCTCGCCTTGGCAGTCAACCTAACTTCATGTTATATTTGTACTTCAGACTTGTCGTCAGCTGAAGTATTACCACCACCATTGGAGGATTTAGCCAAAGTTAACATTCCAGTCACCCTCGCTGCTCAGTCCAGTGCAACTTATCCTGATCAGCAAGTCAAGAACGTATTTCTCCCAATCATCTCACAAGTTATAAAGGATGGATGCCCAGACCTGAATTTTACAGAAACCCCAACTCCTATAAAAGTCTTTTGCAATGTAGATTCAAGGCTCACATTTCCCATTTATTTCACGTCCCAAAGGTAAAAAAGGAACTTTCCTGAGAACCTTGTCCATCTGCTCATATGAAGTATTTCATAGCTGGACGGCTCAGGAAAGGCCATATGACTCCCCAGAAAAGAGACTCAAATGGTATCTTAAGAACGCAGCACCAGTTCCTTCTCCTTAAATATCCAAATTCAAGGCAACCTCAATTTACTATTAACACCAATACTTCCCACATTTCTACGGATTGGTACTCAGTGTTGATAGATAACTCACCTTTACCTCTAACCCAAACGTTAGCTTGGGGAGTGTAGAGAATGTTCTTAAAATTCCACCCCAATCATATATTCACCCCCAGCATTCGAGCAAAATTTGCCTCAATGTGGGAGGGCATCAGTGGGAACTACTTAAGTACACAGACCCCCCAATGTAGAGCTGACCTTTTGGGGACATAAAGTGTCTCTAGATCTCAAATAAGAGCTATAGTTCATATATGGAAATTCGGGGTATATGAGCCCACCAAGTCATTGGAGGAGAACCTGTGGGGTTGCAGCAGTACTTTGAAAACTATCCTATGCCATTACTTCCATACAATTCCCGTTCCTTATAAAACACTCACATTGTAGTAAAAAGGGCAGCTCACGTAATTCTACTCCCTTTAGCAGCTGCTGTAACTGGACTCCTAGGAACCACCGGTCTGTCTCCTGAATGTAAATGGGTTTACATTTATCCTTTCAGCAAACCCAAGCTGTAGCTGAAATTACAGCTGCCAGTCAGGCCTGGTGGCTCATGCCTGGAATCCCAGCACTTTGGGAGGTCAAGGCAGGTGGATCACGAGGTCAGGAGTTTGAGACCTGCCTGGCCAATATGGTGAAACCCTGTCTCTACTAAAAAAATAACAAAAATTAGCAGCGCATGGTGGCACACACCTGTAATGCCCGCTACTCAAGAGGCTGAGGCAGGAGAATTGCTTGAATTTGGGAGGCGGAGGTTGCAGTGAGCCAAGATCACACCACTGCACTCTAGCCTGGGCGACACAGTGAGACTTCATCTCAAAAAAAGAAAAAGAAATTACGGCTGCCATTCAAGAACAACAATGGCAAATAAACTCACTCGCATGTGTCACCCTGCAAAACCGTAGGGAACTGAACCTCCTAATGTCAAGTCAGGGAGGAATATGTGTTTTCCTTAAGGAAGAGTGTTGCTCCTATATTAATGCTTCTGGTAAAGTACAGCAGCATCTAGTAGAGGCAACCAATATTATCACCCACGTGCCACAGCAGAACCCATCGACATGGCTCACAGGCATCAAACAAACTCTGAGGTCATGGTTGTGGTCTATAGTGCCCCCACTAATAATGGTAATCTTAATACTCATATTGAGACCCTATATTCTGAACTTCCTTATAAAGTTCGTCACATAAGCAAGACAAAGTGACACAGACTAAAAGTTGGCCTGTGTGGTCCGGGAATGGAGTGGGAACTGATCAAACAAACCAACCAAAACCTCTGCTCTATACAGATAGTACACCTGGTCTCAGCTGAACCTTAGGGCCCCCTCCTCAACAACCCCCCTCCTCACTAGCCCATTTATAAAAACCCTGGCATTTTTACTGCCACCCAGCAACCCACTCGGGACTCTTCTCTGTAACTGAAAGCTGTTCTTTCCTTTTGCCTGTTAAACTCCTGCTCCGAACCCACTCTGTCTGTGTCTGTGTCCATGACCTCTGTCTCCTTCGCTGTGAGACCAAGAGCCTTGGTATTTACCCTAGACGATGAGGCTGCTTTATAATTATGTTCTTGTAAAGCATTTCTGAAAATGTTATTGCTCCAAATTGTAAAATTGCAAGTTTAATATTAAAACAAAAATTACGTTTTTTCTAATGCCTTCAATTCCAAAATAACCTGAATCGAAGTTTACCAGGGAGGTTTTTAGTATTATTGAATACTAGATACTGCCAATTAAAATGAGTCCTATATTGCTATATAAAATGAACTTCAGCTGTTTTTTAATATTCTTTGGACAATAATCCAACCCATGGCACATTGCAAAAAGTAACTCTGAAATAAAAATAGGAAAATTCTCTACCAGAACATAAAGTTACATCTCTCCTTGATAACAGACTACTTGTAGATTTAGTTGTTCCTTTTTTTTTAAATATACTTTAAGTTCTGGGGTACATGTGTACAACGTGCAGGTTTATTACATAGATATACATGTGCCATGTTGGTTTGCTGCACCCATCAACTCATCATTCACATTAGGTATTTCTCCTAATGCTATTCGTCCCCCAGTCCCCCACCCCCAACAGGCCCTGGTATGTGATGTTCCCCTCCCTGTATCCATGTGTTCTCATTGTTCAACTCCCACGTATGAGTAAGAACATGCTTGGTTTTCTGTCCTTGTGATAGTTTGCTGAGAATGATGGTTTCCAGCTTCATCCATGTACCTGCAAAGGACATGAACTCATCCTTTTTTATGGCTGCATAGTATTCCATGGTGTATATGTGCCCACATTTTCTTCATCCAGTCTATTATTTATGGACATTTGGATTGGTTCCAAGTCTTTGCTACTGTGAATAGTGCCACAATAAACATACGTGTGCATGTGTCTTTATAGTAGCATGATTTACAATCCTTTGGGTATATACCCAGGATTGGGATTGCTGGAAGAAAGAAGGGGAATCAGTAGGAAAAAGTTCAATCCTAACAGACCTTCTTTAGAGTCAATTACATGTATGTGGCTAAGGACAACTTGGTTCTTTTGAGTGGCAGAGCAATATTACATCACCTAACAATTGAATGGCACACAATGGATAAGACATGTGTGATCTCTATACATACATCTAAAATCACTTTTCCTCCAAGAAAGGGAAAACGTTACAAGTCACATAAGACAAAAATGCATTTATTTGAGATACTCTTAAAACATTTATCCTAAAGCCTTAAAAAACAAAAAAAGCACCACAAATACCTGAAACAATCATATAGATCTCAACCCCGCCCAGACAGTGACAACACCTATAATTGTTTCATTTGATTAAAGTTACCTGTCATTGGCCAGGCGCGGTGGTTCATGCCTGTAATCCCAGCACTTTGGGAGGCCAAGGCAGGCGGATCACGAAGTCAGATCAAGGCCATCCTGGCTAACACGGTGAAACCCCATCTCTACTAAAAAAAAAAAAAAAAAAAAAAAAAAAAATTTAGCTGGGCATGGTGGCAGGCACCTGTAGTCCCAGCTACTCGGGAGGCTGAGGCAGGAGAATGGCATGAACCTGGGAGGCGGAGCTTGCAGTGAGCTGAGATGGCACCACTGCACTCCAGCCTGGGCGACAGAGCGGGACTCCGTCTCAAAAAAAATAAAATAAAAATTTAAAAAGTTACCTGTCATCTGAATGTTATATATGTATGTTATACATTTACCATATTTTGTGTTTGTATTTAATCATGAACATCTTCTATTAAATATGAGAGATTCTGTATGATTCTGGACCCTGCTGTAAGAACAGTGTGTCCTCAAATAAAAGTCCTGTTTGTGCACTCACCTTCTAACTCTGTAGCCACTTCTAAGAAAGTCACTAAATTTGCTCTTTAGATTAGAATTTACCCACATGGTTCTTGAGATCAGTGCTACCTATAGTTCACCTAGGAATGTTCGATTCTTAGTCATCCAGGAAAGTCCACAAAAACTGTCAATTAACTGTTCAGTCACAGTGTGATACAAAAAAAATCCCATCATTAGAAACCAATTTGCGAGGTGGGCTCTGATTTTCCTACTCAAAAATGACAGGCAAAAAAAAGTTTTGCTTTAATTATTTTCAGACTAGTTTCTGAAGTGAGAAATCACCTGTATACTTCTGCCCAGGATCATCTGGAGACAGAAACCCCAAGGAAACCAGAAACTTCCCCCACCACCCCTCCACCACAAGTCCTATGGTCTATTTTAAGCAGACCAGCCAGCCCTGTTTTACTCTATCTGAGTAAAGTTGTGTTTAAAGAAAATAATTCATTGGTTAAAAAACTAAAGAAAATGACTGACTTAGTTCAAGTCTTAATATTAAATATTAAGCTTAGTTCAATTCTTAATATTAAAGGCTTAGAGTGGTTGTAAATATATAAACTTTTTATCATTGAAGATTGAAAATTAAAGAGATAACACAATCTTTCCAGATTAAATTTGTAAAAATTATCTTGTTTGAATGTCTAATCTTCTACTTCCTTTTCTAAGTGTAAATTTTACATAGATACCTATAGAATTCAATTAAAATTTAAATTAAAAATATAGGCTACTTTTTGGTTTGGTGATTTAAGTACTTCAGTCAGTATTTATTAACTTGGCTTTTATTTCAGCATATCAATATTTACCAGCTGAGTTTTAAATTTCAGTTATATAGGTATCTATAATATATGTAAAATATTCGCTAGAACAGAGTGTTATAGTGGACACTGAAAACTCAGAAGAGGACAAGGGTGATGAGTAAGGAATGAAAAAATACCTATTGGGCACAATGTATACCATTTGGGTGTCAGGTACACTCAAAGCTCAGACTTTATCACTGTATAATTTTTTCATGTAACCAAAAACAACTTGTACCCCTAAAACTATTAAAATGTGTTTTAAAGTATATCATAAATACAAAAAAGTTAATAAAATACTCTCTAGGTATAAAATGTTCAATAAATTGTTAGAATTAGGGTAAGACAGACAAAAGTGGAAATGGGCAAATTGTAAAGATCAGACAGACTCATCAGAGAACAATAGGTGGCTAGATATATTGAAGGAAGAGGCGTCATAGTAAAATTTTGAAAGTCAATATCCAACCTGATTGTCAAGTCAATTCTCACATTTTTGATGAAAAGAGAAATAATTACGACGGCAGTACAATAGTAAAACAATGTAGATGAATGCTTAGTGGGATCTTGCCAAAGTTAAAGTGTAGCTCAGCATTTTTTATCTTTCTGTTTTCAACCTTACAGTGGCTTTATATGAAACTGAAAACCCAGAGTCCGTGACCAATTTCTGCATAGCCCTTTTTGACATCATTGCATTCTTTTTTTAAATTTTTTTCTTTTTTGGCGTATATATAGTTTGCTTTCATACTAAAATATAAGTTCCCTGAGGCAGGGATTCACACACTCCTGGCTTGTTCGCTCCCTGTATCACCCAGCCTGACACCTAAGTATCTTTAAAAATGTTCGTTGACTATCAACATGACTGACTGGCTATTGGAATCATGCGGCACTGGAAAGCCATGTTATAGGATGATTGAGTTATCAAGCATTTACTCAGAGAATGGAGGCTGGAAAGTCTGAGGTGTAATTTTTAGTTCACTCTTTTTAGCAAATAATTTTTGAACATATGCTTTTTACTTACCCATTTATATCTTCATTTACAAAACATAGGATGAGAACTTATCATGTGCTAGGAACTATTTTAGGTGCTGAGAGTAAATATTTTAATCACAACAGATAAGACCTCTCTTCTCATAGACTTGGTATTATTTTTGTTTTCTTTCCTTTTCTTTTTCCTCTTTATTCTATTTTTTGACATGTAGAGAAAGAATCTATTTTTGCAGCGTGGAAAGTGCCGGGAAGAAACTAAAACTAATTAATATTATAGAGACTGACTTACTCCTCTCACTCCAGTGCTGAGTGGCATCTCAAGGAAGTAACATTTGAATCTAATTTCATGACAAGAAGGAACCAGCTAAGAAATTATTTGTAGGGAAAATGTTCCAAGTGGTAACACAGCTGGTGACAAGGCCCTAAGGCTACAGCAAATGAGGAATAATCAAGGAAGAGAGAAATACTAGTTGAAATGTAGAA